TATTATTTTTATCCAAAGACTTAAAGTCAATAATAATATGAATTGATTGCCTTAACACTTTCAACGCCGCTGACGCGTATACGCGGCAACAGAGTTTATTCTATTTGGCCAGTGACGCGTTTACGCGTCAGTAACATGTACGTTTGTATCCGCCATAATTTAATCGATTTTATTTTAATAAACTCTGAAATGTACACAGGCTGTAGACAATAAACTCTAAATTTAAATCTATAATTGGTTTGAGTTTTCGTTATTATTAGATACTGATAATCGTTGTTTTTGACGGCCTTCCCAAGAAAATGTATATGAACGTATACAGGGTGTATATTAGATATATTATTATATTATGAATTTTTCTACTGTTATTTAATAATAGTAACATACTGTATCATGCAATATGGCTACTTTGCCACTAATAATATTGAAAATACAATAATTTGTTTCATTTGGCGTTATATACGATACTACAACGGATGCCTGCAACGCGGCGTCTCGGTATAATTGCTGAAATCACGGGCGGCGTTGAACGTGTTAAAAATACTAAATTTTACTATAAATCGTACTACTTACATTATGTTGTGTTTTATAGATATATTATATATTTTTTCCAACTACCATATTTTAGAGATTACGGAGAACCCACAAGACAATTTTGACAATTTAACCAATTCAATAGTTTATGATCGTGATTCGTGAAATTTAGAACCTATTGCATTATTAATAATATTATATACTATTTAAAAGAATACAAAATATTATCTTAATAAAAAACGATTAATAGTTGATGAAGTATGACCAACACATGTATACACATACGCACTTGCAACATAATAAAAAATAAAAACAACATTTTTTTGGTAAAATACCAGAGACCAGACTACTGTTTCAGTCAGTTATTACTTATTAATTATTAATTATTATTATACGATTAGATTATCATTTAGGTTGATTTTAAAGACTCGCCAGCAGATGTCTGTAGAGTGCAATAATAATTAACTTAGGAACAAATACGATTATACCTAATAGAAAACTGAACGACGAAACTATATAATACAATTAAATATATGATCTTCAAATATTGGTTTTAGAATCTATAAATAAATGATGTAGGAATGTGAAAATAAAAAATTAAGAATCTATAAACAAAATAATGACAATAAAAAAATACTATACCTATACTATAAAGCATATTATAGCATAAATGTGTCATTGAGATCTCTCGCAGAAATAGCGGGATGAAACATGAGTCATCGAGTGCGGATGTGTAAGAATTATTATTCAGGAATTTAACCATCACCTGTATAATATTATCATATTTAATATAGTTACGCAAAAAATAATAATAGGTAAATAAATGTACGATTCGTTTTAATCAATTTGAATCTTCAAAATAAAATACGTTATTAAAGTAGCTAATAGGTATTAGGTACTTAAAACTTATAAGTTATAATAGCTATATAATATAAGTTACGACTTATTATTGTTTAAATAATTCTAATAACGAAAAATTTATTGAAACGAAAAATAAATATTGAGACACATCACAAATTAAGTTTGTAATATTTTAATAATTTTAGGTATTTAACGTTTAATAAAGCTTTTATAATTATTTTCTATTATTATTTGCATTTTGCTGATACGTCCTAATTACGTCACAACAAGTTATGATTTTAATTATTTTTACTATTATTCCGTTAACAAAATTGTTTGCAATATTTTATAAATCAATTAATTAACAGTGATATACAAAATAAAATATATAATTAATGAGGTAACTCATTTATAGTTTGGTTCAGTTATTTTTGAATGATCTGTATAGGCCAAAGTGTACAAGGACGAAGATCGCTTATGAGCTATGTTCAAATATGTTGTAATAGTTTTAAGTTTTTAACAATTTAAAATAATAACAAAGATATTTAGCATCATAATATCATATTTGTACAACACATGGTCTATAATAAAATTATAATATTTTCAAAAATTTTGATTACTATTACAAATGAAAACTTTATGAAATAGTATAATATCTATATGCATACATAACCATAAAACATTTTTAGATTAATACATGCAAGTGCCTTGGCCTTGCAAATGCATTTTAATTTTTAATAATGAAACGATTAGCTAATTGCTTTATCTATATTATTCATTCAAAATATTACCACAGCCTACAGGTATGTCAACATTCATCAAACACGCCGATAACGTATTCAGAAAATCATAATATATTCATTTTATAGTTTTATACTCTATAACCCATAAAATGTGCTTTAATGAAATATTTTTTAACGTTAAAAAAAATTGAACCTTTTACATACTTCCGAAACTAAATTACCTATTTTCTTTAACTATATCTATTTGATTACCATTCATACTGCAGGAAGACATTATTACATAATAATACAATAAAGATATATTTTTAAAATGTTTAAGATAATTATGTTGATGAATTGTCAGTATTTGACACACTTATTTACAACGCTACTATAACATAATAAACGCAGACGTACAATATTAATTATTTATCGTCAGATCGTCTATAAATCGATTTATATTTCGGTAAATAAAAATATATAATTGTTATATAAAAATAAATAATAGGTAACACTTCAAGAATTTATATTCACGATGAATTAAGTGTTCCGTAAAATAACATGACTGGTAAATAATTTACAATTATTGTAATATACTATTTGAATAAATGACCTGAATAAAAACTACTAAGACCTAATATGAACGCTGTCAACATAAATCGGAAATGGCGGTCGAATTACCAGAGTAACACCGGAAGTCATAAACAAAAAAATTATAATTTAATGCAAATTTAGGAAATAACTGTTCCATAACAGTATAGATAACCAGTAAAAGTACTCAAATTTCAGAGCTCAAAAATTATCTATGTACATGTTCCTTATAAGTTATAATTAAATTAACTATAATATACTCGTTTATAAATTAAAATAGGTATAATAATAATAATGTGTTGGTATCTACATTTATAAATATTTTCCTTTTTCAACCGGTATACTACCAACTACAGCATAATGTATGTTTAAGTTACAATCGTAAAAAACATAGGAATCAGTAATGCCGACTGATGTTTATAAATAACTATTTATATGTCCTATGTATAATAAATAAACGCTTGAAATATTAAAATACGCACAAGATTTTCAACGGGAAAAAAGCTTAAGAGTATTTACAGTCTTCAGTCGCTGGTTATAGAAAATGAGTAAGTTGCAGTTGCACAATGCGTAAGCACGCAAGAACTAAATTTAGATACCTACCTAATTTTTAAAGTTTAACTAACATACGCTACATAACAACAACATTTAGATTTTTAAAAACGCCATTATTTTGGTGAAATGCTTTACACATAATTATTTTTGTTGTATTTTGCTTTATTTATAATATATATTATATACTTTAAATTTAAATAAATTTGTCCCGAGAAAAAGTCAAAGAACGCGTATTTGTTATTTGATTTACGAGGTTGTATTATCGTGTACTGAGATAATAACAATTATGCTGGTAGGTTTTTGGGATTGTGTTGAAAAAGAAACACGCAGATAACGGGTTGCGAGACCTAGAGACTGTGCATAATATAGCGCGCATTCCAATAGAGCCCCGTCACGACGACGACGAGTACCGTCTGTATAGGTAGTTTGGTACCCCTAAAGAGAGGAAGAAATGAGAAAAAATATAATAATAACGTTTTAGTCGCATCATCCCCGAACAGCTGCAAATGCCAGAGGCGCGCACTCATACACTCACCATGCACATACACGAACAAGATGGGCACCGGAGACGTATTCTATTATATGGGATATACTCTTAGATAGTTGTAGCAGCAACAGCAGCCAAACGAAATTCCACTAGTTCCTACTTTTTTGTTTCTATACACGCACGATGTGAAGAGATCCCCTAACAACGCATAGCTTACAACACAACATTCGGGGTTGGTGGAGGGCCGGAGGGGGGACTTTTGGTTCGTTCAATTAATAAATTAATACAAATACGGACTAGTAGAACATAAACAAAACTAAAAACCGACGATAAACATATATTATGTATATTACGATATACAGGGTTGGGCCAAAAGTCAACAATTCACCGGCATATACACTAAAACCAGAAAAAATCATTAGCCCACCCTGTAAACGTGACGAAACACATTAAGCTAAGGGCGGTGGCTTCAAACAGCTCGAACGGTGCCACACGTAAATACCGATAGAATATTATAATACTCACGCGGCGGCAAACAAGGTTGAATAGGTGCACCTCTACAACATAATATATTATAATATACATCTTGACTATATACAGACACATTCGAGCACGCAAATTGCAACACCGAGGCACATTTTTTTTCAATTAGTCATTGTGTTTTGTACGATTACAATGTGCGAGATACATTTGTACCTCGATTTATACATTACGTGTATTTGAAATTTTCTCTAACACGACGATTAACGAATAAAAGGTTTGCGATATCGATATGATTACACCAACTAGGCCTTTTTTCAGCTGATCGTGGTCAAGACAAAAAACAGTTAACTATGCAGCGTATATTTTCAAAATGAAACAAGAAAAAAACAAAAACTGAACGTTCGAACCAGAATACAAAAATGGTCAATTCTCACGACTACCGTTTCTCAGCCACTAATCGGGCTGTAAAATAACAACACAAACGCGGATCATTGATCATCGTTCTTTAAAAAAAAAATATATACACAAACACGCACACATAATATTATTATAATGGTATCGAATCAAAAAATTCGCCTTCACAGCTGCTAGTCCACCCGCCAGCAATGGCGATGGTTTTTTTTTTTTTGTAATATGCAGTACATAAATTATAATATAATATTATGCACACACGCATAATCTATAAACAGATAAATGCATAAACGATAAACACACACACATTCGGTGTTCTTTTTTCGAGATGAGGTGCGCGCTCACGTCTCGTAAACATGAGGATACCGTGCGAGATTCGGTCATGGCATAGGGACGTTCGCACGCACAAAACTCTCAGTAAAACGGAAATTGCTTGTCGGCCGGCGGCGATGGCGTTGTAAAAATACGGGCCAAGACGAATTTTTACTACGTTTCGGTCGGAATGCGTGCGCGTACGGCCACCGAAAGACGAGCGCGCGGTTGACACATCCGCTGCCGCCGACTACCTCGCTGAATGCCGATGCCGCCGCTGCCGTTGCTTTGGTGCTTCGTTCCCGCAGTATGCAGTGTGTAGCTGGACCGGCGCGCGGCGGCGGCAATGACAATGACCGGCACCGTCGAGTTGCAGTGGTTCTCATGGTGTGCTCAAGAGAGAAAAAATTAATAGTACGCAGTACGCACACACACACACACACACACACACACACACACACACACACCACGACTAGGTATAGCCGTATAGGTACAAATCGGAATACGGTGGCCGTAAACGCCCGTGTAGTGGTGTTAAAAAAAAATCCCAAACCGGAAATTATATTTACTGAACCCGAACAAGAATAATATCGTCGTCGTCGTCGGTGACGAGGTTCTACATCAAATACTACTACTATTACTTACTAGTTATGTGTCTACGACGGACGGGACGAAGTGGACGAACACCTTCCGTGCGAATGGAATACGACGATGAACAGAAGCGCACCGAAACACAAAAGCGTGTGCTGGGAGAGGAAATTGCAAATCGGTTTTGGATGACGGGCTTTTTACGTTTTTTTTTTGTTATTGCCGTCTCCGTTTTGTTGATTTTTATTTTATTTAATCTTTTTGTTTGTAGTGCGTTTTTTAACAAAACGATCGTTCCGAAAAACCCGTCTCGTTATTAATACCTTCCGTGCGAGAATCCTTACGCACCGGAAATCCTAGGGCGGCAAACAATGATCAGTGATATAGTTATGATTAGTCTATAGGTATAATATTATATTATACATTTATTAAATATAAAAACAAATATATAAATACATCGTACAGCAATTTTTTTTATATTCTTGTACGATCTATTGAAACTGGTGATAATTCTAAGTATACAAATGAAACACTAAAAATATATTTTAAAGATAACGCGCTATCCTGTCGATGGCTGTGAGTAGACAATAATTAATTATATCGAAAACGTGCTATTTTGTTTTTCCTCTCGTGTTTTGTACATATTATAATGTATAAAATTTAATATTATTTGTATTACTTATAAATTATAATACATTATTATACCTTGGTATTACGTATAATTTTATAATTTTATATTAACGTTAACGGGAGTGTCTAATACAAACAAATTAATATCCGTTATTGAGTAACTCCCCTGTGTATAATATAAAAGATACGATGATTATTTCGACATTCGTCACGGGATAAACGGATAACTGGGATTATGTATATTTCTGCGGTTTACATATTATTATTATTTTATATTATTGAAAATATAATACACGGAAGACTTTGCAACACTATACATTTGTTAATGTAGGTATAATACTGCAATACTATTGGATAGGCCATCATTATTATATCAATGTTGTTTGCATAGAAAAAATGTTATAAAAAAAAAATTGTTCGTGTTAAAAACCCGAAGTTCGTGGATTGAGCAATAAAAGAGTGTAAGTTGAAATTAATCCATTATTACCAAACCATACTATAAGACATTTATGAGAAGGTTTTTTTAACCCGACCCAGTTCTAGATCGACGTTCAACAACAAAACGCTCAGAGTAATATTCCCAAAAAATAATACGTCGAACGACTAGTGAATTTGAAGTTTTTAAACCCAAATGAACATCAAATCCTAATAATACACGTATAAATTATATCATAAACTATTTAAAACGTTTTGAGGAGAATTTTGGCTGTATGAGATTAAATACATTCAATTTTCGTTCAACTGGTGTGCGTGAGACTTGAATAGGCAACATTGAAAACTTGTACATCTATATATTGTTATAACTTATATTATTATTTTAAACCTGGCACGAATAGTCGAATAACGCACGTTTTTTGTTTCAGACAAAGTAACCGTTATTGATGTGATATAATTTTCTACAATCCAATCGGAACCAAATAACAATAACAACTCAAAAAAATACATTTCCGACTGGTGCAATGAAAGCCGAACACGTGTAAAAAATAAATAAATAAGTAAGTACAGATAAAACGCATTTACTGTAAAATAATAATATTATCTACGATATCCACTCTCATCACGCGCGCCAACTCGCATATACAACGAGCTCGCACGTTTAACGGTGGAAAAAAATCAAGTCAGTATTTATAGCTTTAGAAAGTGTAATGAAATAGCAATGTCTAATTAATTCGTAATATAATATGTACATGTACCTATACGTATATAAAATTATGTATAGGTATATAATTTTCTTATATAAAACATGCCTCGTTACAATAAAGTACGATGCGTCGCCGTTGTCGTCTACCAAGGATGCGGCGTGCGGTGCATGGTTAAGAAAACAAAGTAAACCGAATCATAAAAATGTAATTATTTTCTCCTATTATTATATGGTGCATTGTTCCGTAAACTTTACACGTCGGATAATTGTGTACACGACACAACAGGAACCGGGGGAAAACAATGGGAACGCGCGATATTTGTGAAAAGAAAACCAGGGTCCGCTAATTTTTGCAGCGCGCGCGTCCGCTTCGTTTTTGTTTAAAACGCAAAAACAAAAAACTTCACTACACGGTCCACGGTTTGTAACTAATATATAAAATAGGTATTTAATGACAGTGGAATGACAAAAAAACAACGATTATTATTATTACATTATGTCGTGAAAACTGTTTTTTTTTTTATTTCACAACGAAAAAGGTAATACCTACGCACTCAAACACGTTTGGTAGCGCCCTTCGATCCCCAGCATCTCTACTCTGGTATCGGTTTTATTGTATAGAAAATCATATTCCGAAGGGATGCGAAATCGTGTCGTAATGCAACAATCCGAACCGAAGAGCAAAGACCTTACTTGACGTACCTTAAGGGTTGAGCGGCATTGAAGGTCAACAACGTGATATAACAACTACCGGATTATACGGAGCGGATGTGATATCCCCTCGGAGACCTTCGTATAAAATAATGACGAGATTTAACCAGAAAAAAATACCTATCCAGAGATTTGAATCGCCCCAAAACTATTCCCCGGGGATCATACATCATACGTTAGTTATTAACGTACCTAAACATAGTTTTCATTAGTATTTATGTTTTTCATTGTTTATCAATTATTCGTTTATTTTTTTTTTTTGTAATTCCGATGGAAACGCTAGTCGTTTGTATGTGTTTTAACACGGTATGTCATTTCATAGCAGAGTACACCGGCAACTATTGTTGTTTCATAATCGATTCATCCTTGAAACACCGAATCATCGTCTAATTAGGTAGTCCCGTAAAATGTACGAAGTATAATATGTACCTAATGAAATATTAATAATTAATATCTAATTCTAAGTGAAGTGCATGTAGCATACGTTTAAATTGTTTAATAGTAATTTCCATAAACTTAGAGCATGCTTAAGCTAAGAACCTGCATTTAACTACCCAAAGGACTAGAGGTTAAACGACAACAAGAATCAAATTATTTCCAAGTTCATGGGTTTTCTATGAACAAAATCCACAAATATTTAGACATTTAAAATTTAAATCTTAAATACATTTCGTTAAGTCTATTTATAATAATATGTTTTTCTAACACATAAGGTTTCGTTTATAAACCACTTAACCGCGATTATATAAAACGACTAACGAGTTCGTAAATGGCATAATACGAGATGTGCTTTGAGACAATTCACAGCAATTAAATAAATGCTAAGAATTAATCACAGAGTGTATTGGCGCGAGTGCCCGACGATAGTACGACACCGATAACGAAAACTCGCAGTTATCATTTATAGCGTCGAACAATGCACTTTATATATTGTTATCATATAGGTAAATAAAATTGTTCTACTTATTAATAGTTTATAATATCCTGGATGAGTGTTTGGTAAATTAATACGGACTACTTTTCGCGGTTTAATGCGTTCAAATCGTCCTAGTACGCGGTTTTACGAATTACTAAAAATATAGAAGCGGTAGAAACCTAGTACCTAGGTAAACATTAAATAAAAAGGAAAATTGTCGACAAGGTCCACGACGACCATTGTACGCGGCTATCGGATTGGCAAGTCGCAAGTGTACACAATATGTCAAAAACATTTTCGACGAAAATACTAAAGATGTAGGAGCTACTTCTATTAATAAAACTAATCTCTAGCTAAATACTATCAAGGTTTCTCAACGTGTGTGGCGGCATAGTAAATATTAATATATAACATACCAATAATAACAATATTATAATCCGATGGGGTTATTTTCATGTCGTTTACACTACTCAGAATTCGCCTTCTCCTCCCACCCAACGCCGGCCGGCGCCCGGCAGTCGGTGATTTAATAATAATTATTGTGTAGCACACGTGAAACTTTACGTCCTAACTATAATTACACTACATACCTAACTCGATGTCGGCCGAAAAATTCAATCGCGTTTACGGTATTTTAACATTTTCAAACTAAATTCGACGACCGTGAGGTCACGAATGACGATGACTATGGTGGTGATGATAATAATAATAATAGCAATCGGATCACCAGGGTGGTAATTAATGTAAATCACGGTCAGCGAGTATACTATCGAGGGGTGACTACAACGACGGAATTACTCCGAGGACGGGGGATGGTATCGCCCTCGCGGCCGTTATTATTATCGCGTTATCAGCTAGTGGCCGGCGTAAGTGTGATAAGCACTAGTTCGGTGCAACAAGTAAAGTAATAACTAACATCAATTACATTATAATCGTACAATAATAAAATAGTATGAGTATTTTTAATGTGTATGCAATATTCTACTTACTTCGAATCGACCACCGTCCTAGTGTAATAGTAGCAGTCGTAGTAACGGTTGGACGACGACGTGCTGACGTCCATTTGTCGACGGGGCACGGGGTAGAGTGGCGTCGACCCACCGAACGCAAACAATATTATCGTTCGTACGACTACCACCGCGGCGACACTCGATAGATTCGTTTCGGCGTTCGCCGCACGATGCACGATAATTATTCTACGGGCCGCAACGACAACGATGCGCACACTGAACAATTAGCACGTAAAAAGGCTATAATATTAAATATCGCACGAGAAGAAAACGGAAATTAAAAAAAAACCCACCTCGGAAATCGAACGGACGTCGGACACAAACAAAACAAACGACAAACGCGCTCGACACCGACGGACGGACTGACACGAAGAATAATAACAACGACAC